TTGTTTCAAGAAAATTATGTCCATTGGTGGAGATATTATGTAGAAAAACCTCCAATGATCTCAGAAAGGACTTGTCAAGAACTGGGTGGAATAGCATGATTCAAAATAACCTTTTTATTGATTTTATGCCACCTGGTACTTGCTGAGATACACTAGGTGTCTCAAATAATTTGTATTCTACTTATATGTGTCTGTTTTATGATAAAGACACTACTGAAATGTGCCCTAGTGTACCTCAGCAAGTACTGGGTGGAACTACATAAAAAAAAGGTTGAATCAATATTTTTTATCATAAAAGAGATTGATTCAACCTTTTGTTTGATTTAATTCTACCCAGTACTTGCTGAGATGCACTAGGGCACATTTCATTAGTGTCTCTATTATTCAAGTGCACCTAGTGTATCTCAGCAATTACTGGGTGGAACTAAATCAAACAAAAGGATTAATCAATCTTTTTTATCATAAAAGAGATTGATTCAACCTTTTGTTTGATGTAATTCTACCCAGTACTTTCTGAGATACACTAGGGCACATTTCAGTAGTGTGTCATATGACCAACCCAATGTACTAGAAAGGGATTTGGCTGGACAAAGCGCACAAGGAGATGTTCGAAGATGAGGGGAAAGATAACTGAGATTTGTGTCAAAGATAACTAGCTCAAGTTCAAAGAGAGGTGGTTTGAAGATGTATAAATTATAACTTCAAGGATTGTTAAAGATATCTTAACTTGGGTTCGAAGAAGTTAACCAACAGGGAAATGGCTGTTGGCAAGGATAAGGTGTGAAATCCAAAATATTAATTAACTGAGGAAAAAGAGAAAAGAATGAGGAAAGTACAAGAGCTTATATATGCAAAAGGAGTGTACAAGCTCAAAGATGAAACTGAGGCTGAGAAGAGGGTTGAAGCACAGGAGAAGTGATAGATGAAATTAAAGGCAAGGAGGGAGTGTGCTTCGAAGCAAGCCAACTAAGCAATTGATTGATCCGTTCAAATATCCAAGGATTTGATTCAAAGATGATGAGGTATTATTGCTGGTTGAGATTAAAGGTGCTTTGACAAATTGGGATTGTGTTGAAGACTAATTGCTGAGCACAGTTGGAATGAGTTATCACCACACTAGCCAAATAAGGGAAGGAGTTACCAAGCTGAGTTTTATTTAGCTGATTAAACTTTGAAGTTCCTTCGCATGCAAGTCGAAGTTCGAAAATTCAACAAATGTTGAGCTTTCATTGGTTGAGTGTCTCACATCGAAATGGATAAGTAGATGTTTGGTTGAATAGTGTGTGCTTTTGAGCAGCATTTGGTTCGAAGCTGAGCGAAGAAGTTCGACGTGTGACAGTTGCCCAGGTATAAAAGATCAAAGAGCTCCCACAAGTTCAAGACAACAATTTCCACACCACTACCAATATTATCCACCCTCACTACTACTACCACACTTGACTCGAAGAAAGAAGACAAAAAAAAGAAAAAAGGGAAAATAAAATGGAAGAGATTTTGAACATAGAAAGGAGATGAAAGGAATGCACTCAAATGAATTTGGAATGCGGGCCTAGTACCGCTAGTCAAGGAAGGCACATGAAATGTGAATCCTGCCGATGTCAAAAAGTGTTGTGCAGGTTCCCAAATGGATTTCCTTTCGGAGATCCGGAAAGTTGACCAATACCACCATCCCTAGCTCCTTCTCGCCGCCAACACCATCAAACTATTTGCAGTTCATCCACACAAAGTGTCAAAGTTCCGGGATTGTCAAACCTAGAAGTTGTTTGTCCACAAAGAACCAGGCCAGAGATAAACTACCAAATTCTGCCATTTTTGGGAACACCCAAGATTGAGGATTTAACAGGTGAGTATTTGTCGAAGAAGATAGAGTTATTATATGTTTTAATAGAAGGTTTTTTTTTTTAAAAGGGTTCCCAATTGCTTTGAACCAACCGCGCTACACCTCCACAACTCTGACACCACCGCCGCCATATCCAGGAATATTGCAAGAGCCGATGTGGTAATTCCAAAAGGACATCAAGAAGGGACAAAAGCAGGAATATTACTTCAGATTCAGAATCAGCGCCCAAAATAACCATAGGTCACTCCCTTACAAGACACCAGAAATCTCAACACTTCTCAAGGAAAACAGCAACAGAACATTTGTGGAACAACTAGAGGGTTAAGTCAAGCCGGGGAGGGCCGCTGTTTACCAGTTGCAATCATTAAGAGGCTCTTCAAGGAAGTTGATCCGCATACAAATCTCAACATCATGTATGACATTGGCTGCAGCCCTGACAAGTTCATTAAATCATTGAGTTACTCAATTCACAGCCGTTCAAGCCTGTTTCTAATCGCCACCTCTCCTCATTCTCAACTCAGCGGAAAATGTTTCCACATCATGCTGGCCGCATGAAATTCGCAACATCCATCTTCCACTCATATGTCCATGAATGGTAATGCCAACTCCAGTACAACCCCAGGTACAACATTGACTGGGGTTTGTCCGATGGCGAAGGATTAGAGCAACTCTGGTCTTACCTCTCCCCACTTGTCAGCCTCTCTAGGAATCACAGGCTTAATGCTCTTCACCATCGTAGCACATTTCACAATATGATGGGGCTTGAAAAGCTCAGTAAGTATATTTCTTATGCTTATTCTCACCTGAAAAGTATTTTTCTCACTGACTTCTCTATGCTAGTCCGTACATTGAAACAGAAGTTCATACATGCCTTCAGTCGTCGCAAGCACAACAGCAACATGCTTGATTAACTTTTTACTGAGCCCAACAAAAATGTAGAACCTCTGTCCAACTTCAGTTATGAGTTTTTTCTATTGCAGTGGCAATTGCAGGTCAATTGTGAGATCCAGAAGCACACAGACAATGAGATACAAGAAAAGCTTGCCCTTTTCTTTGAAAGGGAGGAAACCTTGAAGGAGAAAATGTGAGTAACACCTCTTAGACCTGATTGATCAATTCTCTTCTATGTGTCCTGATTGTATCACTTTACACCCAAAATTTCCAGTAAACTATTTGTGGTAGCAACTTCCAGTGAATCAACCCAGTTGTACTCAACAAGTATCCTTCAAAATATTGGTAACCTTCAAATTGCACAAAGTACAGAGGCAGCAGATATTTGTGGTGAATTTGGTGACCTCAACCCGTGTGATAGTATGTACATTCAGATCCAATACATCACCCCTAGTTTTCGAAATCATTCTTCATATTCTTCTGGCTAGAGGAGCAGCAATGTTTGAAGATTTTATTGTGGAGTTCCAAGTCGGCTCTCTTCAAAGCAGCCGTGGAGTTACAGGCAGAAACACAGCCTTTGTGGGCATCAAAGGAGCTTGGTGAACGTGTAGGAACCCGTTTAAAAGAGAAAATATATGCAGCAATAAAGAGAAGAAAACCAGGTGTTGTCAAGGCAATAAAAACTTTCTGCAAACGACGATCTACATACCTGACATCATATGCACCAGCTGAGCGGGACCCCAAAATCAAGACTTTGACTATAGCAACTTCATGAAAATGGGCCTTGATGACCCTTTCTGGAATGATGGTTTCCTTTGCCTCTTCAGAGACCCTGGGCCATTGATCCAGTGGTGTGTACAGGTATCCATGCAATGCTTGGGTTGGATTGACCAAACAAGGAGCTGATGCAACTGAAAATTGAGCTATGGTGTGCGCTCTCTTGGGCATTATCACATCTGAAGAAGCTGGGGACTTTATTTATAAATAAGACTGTGCAATGTAAGAGATTTCATCCATATGTGCATCACCCAGAATCAATGATTAATCAAAATTTTCTACTTCCAGGAGACGAAGCTCTCAACCCAATGTTGCTTGATGTTTATGGCAATGCAAATCTACCTGGTGTCAAAAAAACTCCCGGTGGCAAGTACCCATTTCTAGGAGGCGACTTATTGATTTCCCAGCTTCAACACATCAAACTACTTTGTAACTGGCACAAGACAATCAAGCAAATGATATATGAGAAAGTCATTACATATGAAGCAGTGCCAACTGAGTGGTTTACCACCATTGAAAACTTGCTGGTGCAGGATAATGTGGTTGCCAATCCCACTGATGATTTAGAAAAAGCTTCCAATGAAACTACAAACAAAGCTCTGGACCTGGCCTTGTAGGATGTGGCCCTGGATGATCATGAATCTGATGGTGAGCAGAATGAAGGACCACTGGAAGAAGATGTCATCACAGATGATGAGGCAGAGGAAGTTTGATGGTGCTTGTAGATCAACCCCGATATACTTGTTTTTTTTTCTGTAACCATTGACTATGTGTCATTTATCTGCCTTCTCTTTGTGTTCTTCCTTCTCACCAAATTAAAAATATATTTTTCCTATGATTTCAAAGTATTCTTGAATTTATGTCCATTCAATGATTGAAATTGACATGGGTGGTTTGTTTCTGAATTTGATAATAATGGAAATTCTCCCCAAAGAAGTAGTGCTGGTTGATGATGAGTGAGTATTATGAATAAAGGATTTATTAATATTAGATAATACCCACTGAAATTTGTTTATATGATCAAATTGTTTTGAGAAACTTATGTCCATTGGTGGAGAAATTATGTAGCAAAACCTTCAATGATCTCAGCAAGGACTTGGCCAGGACTGGGTGGAATAACATGATTCAAAATAACCTTTGTATTGATGTTATGCCACTTGGTACTTTCTGAGATACACTAGGTGCCTCAAATAATTTGTACTCTACTTATATGTGTCCCAGTGTATCTGAACAAGTACTGGGTGGAATAAAATTTTTCCCTAGGGTATCTCAGCAGTTACTGGGTGGAATTAAATCAAACCAAATTATGAAACAATATGTTTTATGATAAAGACACTACTGAAATGTGCCCTTGTGTATCTCAGCAAGTACTGGGTAGAATTACATCAAACAAAAGTTTGAATCAATCTCTTTTAGGATAAAATGTATTGATTCATCCTTTTCTTTGATGTAGTTCCACTCAAAATTTTGTTTGATGTAGTTCCACTCAGTACTTGCTGAGATACACTAGGTGCACTTGCATAATAGAGACACTACTGAAATGTGCCCTAGTGTATCTCAGCAAGTACTGGGTAGAATTACATCACAAAAAAGGTTGAATAAATCTCTTTTATGATAAAAAATATTTATTCAACCTTTTGTTTAATGCAGCTCCACCCATTACTTGCTGAGATACACTAGGTGCACTTGAATAATAGAGAAACTACTGAAACATGCCCTAGTGTATCTCAGCAAGTACTAGGTGGAACCACATCAAACAAAAGGTTGAATCAACTGGTGTATCCCAACAAGTAATGGATGGAAAAAAGATTGTACATTTCATTGTATTTATCATGTGCCTGCGGCCTGTAGAAGTGAAGACATGACATGTAACAATTTCCTACTTTAGTGTGCAATAATCCAAAAAGAGTAGTCAGTTATTTCTCAGCCATCCTTCCTAGCCTAAGGAAAAGAGAATAAATCTGTATCAGTATACATTTCCATGTATTTATCATGTGCCCATGGCCTGTAGAAGTGAAGATATGACATGTAGCAATTTTGTACTTCAGTGTGTGTACTTCACAGCCAGTAGTCAGTTATTTCTTGTCTTGGCCATCTTTCTTCTGAGGATAGATTCTTGTAAATCTTGTATTTTATTGATAGGTAATCCCCTCTTGAATTTCATCAATTGGGAATAAGTGTGTGAGGCGTGTCAGGTGTGTGAGGTGTGTCAGGTGTGTGAGGTGTGTCAATTGTGAGAATACCTTTTTTTTAAGGTTTAGGGTATTCAAAATTGGTTTTTGAACTCAATTCCACATAAAATCATAAATTTTTCAAGAAAATCCCTAGTAAAGACTTTCATGTGATTTGACATTTGGTCATGTTGGTCTTATGATTTTATGTAGAATTTGATTTAAAAATAAATTTTGAATACCACATGTAGATGCATGTCACAAGAGGTGTTGCATTCAGGATCAAAATTTTAAATCACCTCCTGGTGAAAAATTTCCACCACCATCTTCAATTCTCATTTATTGTTTCATTTTAAAATTCCTCCAAAACAAGACTATGAAAAGTTACCCATATCAACCAAGCTCCAACAAAGTACGGAACCATCAAATATCCCTGGGACTCCACTCACAGAACCCCAACTACACAAGCTCACAGTTGCGTCCAAACCATGACCAAGATTATATGCACCATCAAGGTTACATCAACCGGTACAGGCAGCAGATGGATCTTGATCTTGATTCAAACAATCATATGCACAGTGTTTACAGATTTTTGCCAGTCATATGGCCAGACAAGTGGTCTGCCAGGCCTTCAGAATCTTCTTTACTCAACTTCTTCTCGGTGTGGGGATCAAGACATGAACTCTGTTGGTATTTCCTGTGAAAATCAACCAGCTCAAATCAGCAATGGAAGCCAAGGTCCTGAACCACCAGCTCAAATTATAAATGCTAGCCAAGGTACCAATCCACTATCTATGCCTCACATAAATGCTTCTCACCGCCCGGCCCATCCAAATTTTTCAAACGGCGCTCGGCCACCCAATTCAAACCTCAACATCAACATAACTCAGCATGGATATCTTCCTGGCCAACTAGCAACCAGCAATGGTGAAGCCGGGCCTACAACAGCTGCCACCCTTGGCACCTAGTCTAANTTTTTTTCTTAGTGTAACTCTCCAGCATTGAACAGGAAGGCAGCCTCACCAGCACCCATAGTTCAGCTTAAACTTTCATTAGTTGTAGTTGTCTATTTACCTTCCAAGCTCTATCTCCCCTGAGGAGTAGTTCCACACCGATGATTCTCAAAAGTTGATTGGAGCCGGTGAGCAAGGAGCAAGAGTTGAATCAAGGGCCCAAAGCCAAAGAAGAGGATGTTGAACTTCAAAGGATGGAGGTGAGACGAAAAGGATAGCGAAGAGGAGGGAGAAGGCAAACTTCAAGGATTGGAGATTTGAGAGGAGGAAGTTAAAGGAGAGGAAGGGAAAGATGAAGAGAAGGAAGGGAAGAAGAAGAAGGAGGAGGCGAAAGAGAAAGAGGTTGATGAGGAGGTCGAGTTGAATGTGAGGCATGCCCCAGAAACCGATGCTCAAAGGTTAATTGACAATATTGGAGAGGGAGGTTCAAAAATTTGAAGAAGGAAAGGGGAATATGAAGAGGAGTTGGAGAGGGTGAATTGGGAGTGTAAAAAGAAGAAGAGAAATATGGACTGGATGGAGGCGGTGTTCAACAATCATCAAATGATCCAGGTTCAATACATGAGGTCATTGTCGAGGTTGATCACCGAAGAAGATAAGGAGAATTTTTTAGGACTAGTAAACGCTTTGAAGGAAAGTTGGGAAGAAGCGGAGGAAAAAATTAAACAAGGAGAAGTAGAAGAATGAAATTGTTATCTATATTTTTTTTTTCTTTGTATATAGTAAATAATTTTTATAATGTTTATAATGTTTATAATGTTTATAATGTTTATAATGTTTATAATTTTTATAATTTTTATAATTTTTATCAAATATATTTTCTTTTAATGAGGGTTAAGGAAGATAGGAACTTGAAGAAAGGGAAATTTGAAGAATTAATTTTAAGCTTTTGATTTAAGGAGAGAAGATAAAAGAGAGAAGGGAAATAATGAAAAAAGTCGATGATAAAGATAGGAGGGTTTTGAAAGATTTTTCAAAGAATTTTAAAAGAAGGTGATTTAAGGTTGACAAGGTTTGTGAGGACAAGAGGAATGAAAGTCTTGAACCAAGTCGGGGGAGTTTTGAAGATGGTTGGCGGGCTCCCAGGAAGTTCAATCTTCGTCAGACTGATGACC